CTGAAGGACGTTGACGGGTCCTTCATATTTTCGCACAAGGCGTTGGTCTTTGTTACCTCGAAAGCGAAGTTGTTCAGGTCTCAGCTTCACAAGGACTTGATCTCTTGCCTGGAATTCTAATGGCCTTCGCTTTTTGTCTGCCCACTTTTTCATGTGTTTAGACGCCTTCTCTAGGTATGCTCGGGCCACTTCGGTGGATTGACGCCATTCCTTAGTGAAGTTGTAGGCTTGAGAACTCTTGCCCACATAAGGATGGTCGACAACATGAGGTAACACAGGTTGTCGCCCGCATACGATTTCGAAAAGGGTTCTTCCCGTGATGGTGCTCTTTTGGCAATTGAAACAGAATTGAGCTACATCGAGCATCTGGATCAATTCTTTTGCCGAGCATCAATGAAGTGGCGGAGGTACTCTTCCAGCATACTATTGAAGCGTTTCGTCTGTCCGTCTGTCTGTGGGTGATAACTCGAAGAGATGTTCAAATTGGATCCCAATAGGCGGAAAAGTTCTGTCCAGAATGCCCCTGTGAAGCGTCCGTCTCTGTCGCTCACGATGCTCTCAGGGACGCCCTATAGTTTCACAACATTCCTGAAAAATAACTGTGCAGTCATTTCGGCCGAGCACATCTTCGGAATTGGGATAAAGGTAGCATACTTAGAGAACCGGTAAACTATCACGAGGATCGCTTCTGTCTCCCCGACTTTAGGTAGGTGGGTGATGAAATCGAGAGACACACTCTCCCACGGTCGTGATGGGATTGGCAGGGGTTCCAGTAAACCCGCAATTTTGTTTCGCTCGACCTTGTCTTGTTGGCAGATGAGACACGTTTTGGTATACTGCATCACGTCGTCTCTCAAATTCGGCCAGTAGTAGCCTTTCTTTAGCAGGGCGTAAGTTCTCTGCCATCCAGCATGGCCTGCCCACATCGTGTCATGACATTCTCCAAGTAGGAGCTTCCTCAGGTTCTCAGAACGGGGAACATACAGACGGTTGCCTTTGGTGAAGAGGAGGTCATTCTCCATCCAAAACTGTCTAGTCTTCCCTTCGTTGGCTAACTGAATTATCGCTTGGGCAGCTGGGTCATTCTGTAAGTTCTCTTGGATGGCTTCGCGAATGGATCCAGTTAGCTTGCTCACTTTTAGGTGAGCTAACACGCACAGGGCCGCATGTTCGCTCTTTCTGCTAAGGGCATCTGCTGCCTGATTTGCTCGACCCGGCTTATGTTCGAACTAAAAATCAAACTCGGCAAGGTATTCTTGCCACCTAGCTTGCTTGGACGACAACTTCGGTTGGTTGAAGAAGTGACAGACTGAGCTGTTGTCAGTCTTGACAACGAACTTGACCCCTAGGAGATATTGCCTCCAGGCCCTCAAGCAGTGGACTACTGCTAACATCTCTTTCTCGGAGGCGGCATACCTCCTTTCAGTATCATTCAACTTCCGACTCTCGTATGCAATGGAATGACCGTCTTGGAGAAGCACTCCTCCTAGGGCGAAGTCTGACGCATTAGTCTCGACTTTGAATGGTCGTGTGACGTCTGCAATTCCCAACACCAGTCCCTCCATCATCACCTTTTTCAAACTCTCAAATGCGGCTTGACATTCTGCAGTCCAGTTCCACTTTTGGTTCTTCTTTAGTAATTCCGTTAAGGGCCCGGTCCATTTCGAGAATCCTTCTACGAATCGCCTATAGTAATTGGCTAATCCGAGGAATGAACGTAGTTCTGTGATGGACGTCGGAATTTTCCACTCTTGAATGGCTTTGACCTTTCCATCTTCCATGCCTATTCGACCACATTCTATCACATGACCCAAGAAACTGATGCGTTCTTGAGCAAAAGAACACTTTTCCCATTTAACATACAACTGGTTCTGCTTGAGCTTCTCGAAAACAAGCTGTAAATGCACCTGGTGTTCTTCCATGGTTGGACTGTAGACGACTATATCATCTAGGTAGACCACCACAAATTTGTTCAGATATTCATGAAACACTTGGTTCATTAAGGTGCAGAAGGTGGCAGGAGCATTCGTAAGGCCAAAGGACATGACAAGAAATTCAAAAGCCACATACCGAGTGATGTAGGTCGTCTTCGGTTCGTCTCATTCTGCGATGCGCACCTGATAGTACCCAGATCGCAGATCCAGCTTAGAGAAGTACTTTGCCCCATGAAGTTGATCGAAAAGGTCTGTGATGATGGGCAAAGGGTACTTGTTGCGGACGGTGAGTTTGTTCAATGCTCGATAGTCAATGCATAGGCGGAGGCTTCCGTCTTTCTTCTTCTGAAAAAGGACTGGGGCCCCATAAGGAGCCTTAGCCGGGCGGATGAATCCAGCATTCAGTAACTCACCAAGTTGTTTCCTCAGTTCGGCTAACTCGGAAGGAGTCATCCGATAGGCGTTCTTGGCGGGCGATTTTGCCCCCGATAATAATTCGATCTCGTGGTCTATCCCACGTCTTGGAGGTAGAGTTTTGGGCAGGTTGTCTGGCATTACATCGGCATACACATTCAAGACTCGTTGGATTTCTCTGGGAACTGGCTCTTCAGATTTTCCGCCTTCCACAATAGGGATGGCCATGAGCATTGGCTTGTCACGAGCGAGACCTTTCTTTAGTTGGAGTGTTGATATCATCTTCACTCCGCTTGGTTGTTTGATGCTTGTCTGAACAACTGTGGGATCGGAACCCGTTACAACCAGGCACTTAGCGAGGGGCATGGGGAGGACTTTGTGTTCCAGCAGAAATTTCATCCCCAATACTACGTCGAAGTCATCCATCCGCACTATCACGAAGTCGACCTGTCCACTCCATGTCCTTAGCTTTACTGAGACTCTCTTGGTAACTCCCATGATGGGGAGGGCGGTCGAGTTGACCGCTTTCATCTTTCCTGGATCTTTGTCCCATCGCAAGTTCAGCCGACGTGCTTCAGTTTCTGTCATGAAATTGTAGGTGGCACCAGAATCTACCATAGTGCTTTTTGCAGCTCTCTGATTGATCCACGCCTCCGCATACATCAGACCACGTTCCAGAGGTTCCTTCACTTCCTCGGCCTTCTTCTGAAGCGCCGATAAGAATTTGAGTGCTCCCATACGGGGATTGTCATCGACGTCTTCGGGAGGAGTATCTGTTTCAGGGCCTTCCCGTTCGGTCGCTCGATCGTTCGTCAGTGTGGCTTAGAAGGCCCGGAGGACAGCTCGATTCGGACCCTCGTATACTCTGTGCGGTCCTTTACAAATGAAGCAGGATGGTCCTGTCCGATTATTATTGTTTTGTGGGTTCGACCCTCTCCATGTATTTCCCCCTCTCTGCTGGAAGGGTCTGCGATCTCCTCCTCCATTTCTGTCAGCTCCCCACTTTTAGGAGACCCCGATCTAGCAGGTTTGTTTCCACTACTGGAAGAAGCTTGGGTTTTCCTCTACTCTTGTGGTGTATCGTTGCTAAGATCAAACAGTCGTTCGGCTGTTGCGTAAGCAGTAGGGATATCTTGTACCTTCTGTTCATACAATTTGGCCCGGGCCCATGGTTTCAAGCCCTCCACAAAGGCGAAGACCTTGTCTTTCTTGGACATATCACGGATATTCAACATCAACCCTGAAAACTGCTTCACATAGTCTCGAATATTTCCTGTGTGACCCAATTCACGCAGTTTACGGCAGGCAAGGATCTCTACATTCTCCGGGAAAAATTGGGATCTGAGTTCCTGCTTTAGTTTTTCCCACGTGTCGATGGTACATCTGTCCTCTTGTAAATCTACATATCTTGCTCTCCACCACAACTTCGCATCGTCAGCAAGATGCATTGTAGCTAGTGTGACTTTTGATTCCTCTAGCACCGTGTTTGTCGCCTTGAAGTACTGCTCAAGGTCGAAGATAAAGTTCTCAAGAGCTTTAGCATCTCACGCCCCACAGAAGGGCTTGGGTTCGGGAACTTTCATCTTGTTGAACTGAATCGGTCCTCCAGCTGGGGCCTAATTTCCCACCGCTCTCATGATGAGATTTACTTTGGTGCCTAATTCGGCAATCTCCACCCTCATGTCGTCGATGGTGGCTTTGAAGTCGTCGGTCAGCTCACTGACCATCTGCACAATAGTCTTTTGGGAGATGTCTATTTCTTCGACACGCTCCTCCATGTGGGCGATTGAGCTCGATGAGCTTTTGCCACACTCAAGGTTATCAGTTCACTTAACCTTGTCTTCAAGGGCCTCAACCCGAAGCATTAACTCCCGTATAGCAAGCCCATCTATGCGAGCATTCACGACGTCAATTCCGTCAGCTTTGGTGGAGATCTCATCCAGCCGAGATTCCACATATCTAAGGTTGTCAGGGATTTCCCTCAAGAACAACAGCTGTTCTTCGATCTCGACGAGTCTGTCGACGTGGACTTGCCCAACTGCTTTGTCGCGGACATGGTTACTGTTTTCCAACTCGAGGAGCCAACTAGGCTCTGATACCAACTGTCACAATCACACTTTAACAGGACTCACGAAGCGATTGTGCGGCACTTGCTTTCACCCTCTAGCAAGTCAGCCAATGCGGAAACGAATAGCCGGTGGCATAAAGGCTATATGTCGCAACCTCCACCTCTGTTCTCTAGAAAACGGTTTTGGAAAACGGGGTTAGAGAAAAAGGTTTTGGAAAACGTTTGAAAGCATTTTAGAAAGTTGTTGTAAGCTTGAATGCAAGAGAATAGATTAGCGGCAAGACAAGAATACAACGCAATGTAGGGAGGATGACTAGGTGTACCCCCCTAAGGTAGATTATAAAGCATTTTGCCTTTGGCAGGCGTGAACATGAAAAGTGGCGAGGAGTCACTCGCCACCAAAAGTACAAGGAAAACAAAATAACAAGTAAAACTAAATACATGGCATAAAAGTACGTGGAAAGAGGTTGTTATGGGCATGCGACCACAGGCAACAGGCCCTGGACAAGCATGACCATGACATATAGCATTTTCCATCTCGTTGAAGTTTCAGCGTA